TGCTGAACAGCTACTAAAGTTCAAAGTATTCCACTCGGTGCCCACTCGCTGCCGAAGGTTCAAAGCCTATCGAGATTTGTGTCTGGCCTCTCATCAATGTGGCCTTGGCCTTGCCTAACCTTTGAACTACGGCGGCATGAGTATAAGGCCCAGGCTGTCAGAGGTTAAGCCAGCCAATTACAAAAAAGAAACAACAACTGAAGGCCAACTCAGCTATATATATATCTATATATATATATATATTGTGAAGCCAGTTGAACTTTATATTAAAAGTTAAGTATACGCAGCGTGAAACAAAAAAAAGGAAGGCGTTTGCGTAGGCGTGGCAGGGCAACAGGCAAAGGCGTACGCGTTAATGAAAACAAATTAATCGCATTGTGTTTACATGCAGCTACATTGAGCGTGGTGCGAGGGAGAGGGAGAAAGTGATTGTATAGAGAGACAGCGCGCGAGAGAGAGAGAGCGAGTGTGGGAGTGAGAGAGAACGTCCGTCAGCCTTTGTGCAAACAGATAAAAGCATAAAGTGTTGACATTGTTACGAGAAGTGCCACAGCAATAACAACAAACAGTTGCAAAGTGCTGACAGCATGTTAGCGACACAGATACCCTGTAAAATGTGAGAAAAGGGAGTGTAAGTGTGGACACTAATGTATATATCTATATAAATATATATTTAATTATATATAAAATATATAGTTATTAGTCTTGATGCCTAAACAAAATCTTACTAATCACTTATTTTCATGCATTTATATAAATATATAGCTCAATTCTTAATCAGTTTATAGTTCACATATAACGTAAAAGGTTGAATATCTAATTTGTTGCAATTTGTTTGACAGGGTATTTGGCAGCTATTTGAACTGCTCTTTGTTAACTTAACTTTTAACTTAAATTTTTTGTTTCTTATATGACATTCAACTTTTTTAATCAAAACTTAACACGCGCTGTCTTTCTCTCCTCTTTCTTTCTACATAAATAAATGCCTCACTCTTTCTCTCTCTTTCTTTTACTTTGTCTTCCTGTGTCTCTTTCTGTACTTACATATTAATATATATGTCTGACTCTACCAATTTCTTATTCCGCTTTTCCATCAATCTAGCTGTCTCTCCTTTTCGCTCCCTCTATCATTCTTCACTCTTTTTCTCTCTATTTTTCTATAAGTTTCTCATATACACTCTCCTTATCCTTGTTTCTCTCTGCCTCTCTCTCTATATATATATATATATATATATATTTATTTTAACTTTTTTCTCTCAATCTATCTCTATCTCGATCTCAAGCTCTCTCTCTCTTTCCCACGCTCTCTCTCTCTATCTTACTGTCTCTTTTCCTCTTTTACATTCACTCACTCACTGACTCTATTTCTATATCTCTATCTCTCTCCCTCTCTCTCTTTCTCTGTCTCTGTCTTACTCCGCCTTTATCCCTGTCTCCGTTGCCTTATGGCATTTATGCACTTAAAAATAATTATCAACTGCACTTCTCTGCAATAATTCATGCTCGGTCAAACGTTCTGGCTCATTATGGCCAACAACAAGACCGCTGGCTATCAGCGCAATTATCAACCAGCCAAATATGACAGAAACAGCGAAAGCAGCAAAGCGAGAGAGAGCGAAAGAGAGGGCGAGAGGTCGCTATGTAGATGTCAGGCCAAATATAGAAGTAAGCCTGATGAATGCCAAACAAGTTGACTGCCAAAGTCAGAGTCAAGTTACAAGGACAAACTTTTCGCCAAGCGACAACAACAACTGCGATAAATAATGCATAATAACAAGACTGAAAACAACAATAACAATGACATTGACAATAAAAACAAAAAATGTCAAATAAATTGTAGACGGCGCGTAATTTTAATTATTATGAACTGGCAAAGCGCGAACTGTGAAAATTAGACATTCATTTCGCAAAGAGGGAAATCCCATGTGGAAAAGCCAATTGCTGCATGGGCCCGAAACAGAACGAAACGGAGACAATGCCAACAAAAGTTTTTGCCATGCTCAAATGAACTTTTGTTGAGTCAGGCGAGAGAGAGAGAGTGAATGAGTCAAAGTGTGTGTGTGTGTGTGTGAGTCACATGTGTTCAGCAGTCATAAATGCTGCATTTGCTTTGTTTTTTACGCTACCCAGCACTCATTAAGAGACACGCAGCTAGACGACTGACGTAACAGGATATCGAGCAGTCGCGCATACTCGTTTAATAGCATCAGCACTTGTTTGCTGTCAAATTTGCAACTGACTGAACTACAAGGCAAAGACATTTGGCGACATGCTGCTAAGGCAGCGCACAAAAGTAGGCAACAGAAATTCGCGCTTGAAAGTAGGCAATGATAATTGCATGCGAAATATGCGTGTGTGTGTGTGTGTGAGAGGGGGTGTAGAGACTGGCGTGAGTGTGTGTGGGTGTAAATGTTGTGTACGTCTCATGTCTGCTTGGTGTATTCAATATCAATTCATGTAAATTTAATTACGCATGCCTGCGTCTTGTTTGCATGCCCCAGTCAAACGCACACACAACACACACACACACACACGTCTGTGTTGGACTGTTGTTTGCACATATTTGATTACCTAGTGAGCAACAACAGCAAATGTCTGGCAACAACGCGGCAAACTAATTAAAGTGTTCATTGGCAAGCCAAACAACTTGCAACATGCACAGCATGTGGCAAATTGTTGTTGTTGTTGTTGTTGCTTTGCCCAAGTTTTTTGACCTGGCACAAAGTTTCGTTTTTGGCACGCATTTAAAAGCCCGACGCACCACTGAGCCGGCATATTATTCAGTTATTAACCGAAAAGTTCAACTTTTAATGCATTGCAAATTGTTTTGCAATTATCAGTTGTTAAGTTGTTGCAAGCATTTGGTTGTCTTAGCGACAACGGCAAGCCAGCCAGCCAGCTAGAAGCCAACTTAATACCCTCGAATATATAACAAATCTCTCACTCGATACGTTCAACAAAATTAGAGTTTTCCCCAGCGGGCTCCATAATAAAGCAAGCGCCGATAAGTTGTTGCAGCAGAAGTTTTGTTTAACAAAAGTGTTGCAAGCTAAACAAACTGCAACAGCAACGGCACGAGCACCTCCCGTCAGTTGCAAAGTTTTTTGATTTGGCTTTCTTTAGTGTCAGCTCAAAGTTGAAAATCCGCAACGAAATTTCTCTCAAGAACTTCTGCTAGCCAAGCCAAATTCAAATTGCAATTCGACATTTGTTGCCAGCAGCTTTAAGGTTGAGACATTGCAGCAGCTGCCACCTCCACTTGAACAATACGCATAAATAAAGAACAAGTTGGCTTTAGTTGCATTTCCTTTGGCGCAGGCGACGAAAGCCAAAACTCGTTATCATTTAATACCAGCGAAGGATGCGGCGAGTGGCTGCCAAAGCAACTCAAGCTATTGGCAGCGACCGTACACTGTGACAAATTATTATTACTCTGCAAATCTGATTTAACAAACAACCAAGAAACGTAACTGAAACGCTTCAGTCAGAGCCTTTCTAGCAGTCAGCATACATATCTATAATATTTAACTTCAATTTCATTAGCTACTTTCTCTCAGTGTAACGTCATTTCAACGTCTGCTGCTGCAACACTCTTTACATTCTCTTGCTCTATTTCTCTTTTATCTGTATATTAGGCATTCGCTTGCGCTTTTGTTGCAACATTCATGCACAATATTTGCATAATACAGACTGATTGATGTTTGACTGTTGAAGGAGTGTGTTACCACAGCAAGCAAGAGGAAGGGACATCGCTTGGTTGGTTGCTATTGGTAATGAAAAGCGGGCCAAGAGATTGGCAAAGATTGGCAGCCCACATTGGGCTGAATCGTTGAAGCGGATTACAACAATTCACAACTTGTAAATATGATGCTACGGCGTTCTACTATTTGCACAGCTACAACAACAACAACAACAACAAATGTTGTTAACTGGCACAAGGCAACATCAGCTAGAACAACAACAACCTGCTGAAATCGATGGCCTGCTTGTGCCACACAGCCTCGACTCCATTTGCCGCCGCTGAGTGCAAATAGTTTTTGGTTTTTACTTATTGCTGACTGCCTGGCAAAGCCACCCGACCCTACCCTAGATATCTACCCTGGCCCCCGCCCCCGCTGTCGCCCTTGCCTTTCATTTGCTACAAGCAGCTGGCGCTTAGCCAATTCCCAGCATCCACACAGAACGACCGACTGCTCAGGCTCTGCTTTTTGTTTACCAACCTTAACAAAGACTTTGCCGCATTGCCTCGTATTTTCCTATTTCCTCAAATGTCCAAATAAACTCGCTCTCAAAGCAAAAAGGTGCCGCAAATTCACACTAAGCTAATAAATTATGTAACGATTTATGACAATTTCGCAGCTGAAAGTGAAGCTCTGCACATAAAAACTTCTTAAATAGCTCCCAATTTGTCGAGGAGCAATTGATTGAATGGAATGGAACAGTTAAGCGTAACTTTGGGAGACAATAATATATTAAGTTTACTTGAGAACTATAATATATAGCAGAAATTCAGTCTAAGCCTGAGGCAATCGTGTAAACATTTTACAGGGTCTCTCAAGGTCGACTACATCACTTGACTTAAGATTTACCAACTTAATATTAAGAAACTTTATAAAGAACGACTGACAATAGACTTAGGCAGCCGTATAAGCTTTTTACAGGGTATCTGAGGCAAGACTCTAATATAAAAATATGTCTTTGATTTGACTATATTAATTTTAATTTTAATTAATATTTATTTAACATAATAAACTTATGACTTTAAGAGACTCAGAGAATTCTAAAAAAAAAATGATAGGGTATTCTAAGGTCGACAACATCACTATTTAGCTAATTTAGCTCTAAAATGTTTAAAGCTTTTTGTAGCTGGGTATCTGTATCTCATATATATAGTAATTGATAAACCTTTTTTAGTGCTACACTCAGTAGGCCGCCAAAGTTTGAACCTGCTTTCGGGTTATACGAAATGTTGGCAGTTGCTTTTGAGACTTCCAGACGACTAAACGTTACGACTGTTTTTTAACTTTTCTTATTTTTATACAATTTAACACAAAAATTTTTTTGTTTTTTTTTTTTTTTTCAAATCTTTAGTTATTTTTATATTGATGCCACTAAAATAAAAAAGGCGAATAACTCCGAATAATGAGCAGAATGTTTTCTGAGGGATGCTTGGATCGATCGCAGGAGGTGCTTCAGGCGCAGTGCAATCAAAGTCAAGCCGTTCCTACCCTGGCTCAAATTGATGCCTGCGATTTCAATCCGGTGAGTTGAGCTAGCCGGTGGCAGACCGTTTGCTGGGGTATTCCCTCTGCAGTCTGTAATGTGCCAGCTTGGTTTCAGCTAGCGCTTTTAAGGGAACGCGTTACGTATACGCCACATTACGTATACACCGCATAATTAATTTAACCCTATTGCATACAACCATAGCGTCCGATGCTACTTTATACTTTCGATGAAAGTTTTGATAATGGCAGAGCTGTTTGTTGCCGGGAGTGCGCCGAGACGGATTTCTTAGAGGACTACTTCAAGGACAGTTGCGGCAGGAAACGTCGCAAGCGGAAATGTTCAAAGCCGAAACCGTGTTGCAAGTCGAGCAGGAAGCGCAAAAAGCGGGGATGCAAACGACGTCGCAAAGCGAAATCGCGTTGCCGCACCAAGCGCAAGCCACGTTGCTGCCCCAGGCGCTGATAACGCTAGCGAACGATGCATGCAATCTTTGCCTGCCTCATAGGTCCCTATATCTGTGTGGGTCATTGTATGAACGTTGAAATGGATTAATGTGTGTATGTATGTAAGGGAGCAAAACATCAAAATTTCGAATTGTTTTTTAATTTGTGTGCGTGAACAATGTAACAAGTGGGTAGAAAATAAATAGAAAAAATAATGAATTTTAAAGATGTAAAATGAACCGAATTTTATTGAATTGAAAGAGTTATGTAAGAGCCGAGAGATTTTAATGATACTTGCCTTGTTACGGCATTTATATATATATACATTATGAAGGAGAAGGATCAATGTGCTTGCGCGTCCAATTTTCGTTGGGAAATTCCTTGCCTGAAGCTTTTATTGTATTTTCTGTATCCCTTTCAGTTCGCAGCGTTTCCTGCTTTCACACAAAATCTCGCACAGTTCCATTATATTGCCTCATGTTCTGTACACACAATCACGCTTTCATTATATTCATTATTTTGCCAGCTCATATTCCATGCACTCGATTCACACATTTTGTATTTTAGGGCCACAAATAAATTTTCCTTAGCGTCGTTTTGTCTAATGAGTTGAACTCTTGGCAGCACAACTGAGCGGAGCTGCTGACCCCCAGCAGTTACACCTTTTTGCTCCATAACACATTAACAGATGGCTGACTGCTTGTCAAGCATTTAGCTGGCCCCTCTCTGTCTCCCTTGGCTGGACTTATTAAATGCACTCGAGCGAAACATCAAAGTTGCCTCGATTTGTAGCTGGCTCATTCGCTTCCGCATCCCCGTTTGGGGAGCGCCCTCAGCTGAATCCCGGGCTCTTCATGTTTATTAAATAGTTTCACGTCGTGTGTCTATGGTGGCGAGGAGTGGGTGGCTTTGGGCATTGGTTTATTTGCATAGGGTAAGGTTTGCCAACTAGCAGGCAGAGGTCGTCCTTCCTGGTGCGTTGGGTTTGCTGCAATTCGTGGCATATTTCAATTTTTGCTATTGCTATACCAACAGCTGCAGCTGCAACTGTTTGGTCTCTGCGCTTTCCTTCCTTCCTTTGCTTTGCAGAAGGAATTTTCCTTTTTGCTTTTTTTTTTGTTTTCTTTTTTTGTGCATCTCTTCATTGAGCTTTCTGTGGGGCTGCTGCTGCTGCTTTGCCATGGCAGCCTTTGATGCGCTGCTCTCGAAATGAAAACCAAACAAATGTCACGCTGATCCCACCTACCTCTGCTCCATGCCACGCCCCTTGCTTCCTTCTCTTAAAGCACAAATTGCAAATTGCAAATTTTGCGCTTTGTCGTTAGAAAAATTGCGTATACGTTGCTACGTAAAAGACGTAAAAGCGCGTTACGACAATTTACATTTATTGCCCGCCATTTCAACCGCATAAATGGCACTTGCTAGGGACGGGGCGGCAACAAAGTGGGCGTGCCTGCTTTCTATTATATTATTAAGCTGACATTGGCCCCGGGCCCTTGTTATTGTTGTTATTGTTGCTCTGGCATACACAAACACTTGGCATGAATTATGGTTGCCAGCAGAACGAAATGGCAAGCAAGGCAGAACGAGAGAGCCAGAGTGGCAGGGTGACAGAGAGAGGCAAGAGAGGGAGTGAGAGAGCGAGAGCACAGATAAGCCTGTCAACGGGTTGAGAGTTGCCAATTTGTTGCTTCATTGTTTGTTTTGAGGACATTTCAAATATTTTTGGGCAAGCTTCAAGACTGAAACTTAATGCTCTAGAGGTTTTGCCCATAGGGTATGCTACCAAGCTGATTAAGTTAGACAGCAACTGTCAAATTGAAAGTTATTTCTGTGCCCAAATTTTGAAAGGATTGTAAAGAATTATTATAGCAGTAATAAATGAATATATTCTGCAGTAAATTAAATTTAAAGTTTCTACAATTATTTATACAAATGCTAAATATATTTATTGCTAAATATTGAATCAACACTTCGATTCTGATAGATTTGAGCTCGGAATCAATAAAATGTTTGAGAGTTGAAGTTTTCTTATTTGACAAGAAGTTTCACTAATTTCTACTTTGATAACCAGTGTCATATGCTAAGCTTTATTCTAAAGACAATCTTATTGAAGAAGCAAAACATACCTGAAATATTTATAATATTTTAAGTGAGATTTTTATTAATTTAACTCACAGCTAAAAGAATTATTCAAGCATAGTCTTCAAGCTGCTTGAACCCATTTGCCAACACTATAATCAAGCTCAAGCCAGGTCTTGCTATTCTCTGCTTTCGTCTATCTTTATGTTATATAAATTAATCGCCAGCCTGAGTTTATATGCCTTCAGCTGAAGCCCAGCTCCACATCTTAAGAGCATTTTCTAGTCAACTTCACACAGTTCTCCATGTTTTGTGCTATGCTTTGTGCTTCCCACTCTCTATGCTCTCTCCTTGAAGACATTAACCCAACTCAGTTTTCGCATAATGAATTTTCAACGAGGCGACGAGACAAAATTTATGAGCTTTACAAATCATTTTAGCCAACGAAAATTTGTGTTGCAATGCGGGCCACACGAAAAGCTGTTAATTATTATGTAGCCTATTAACAAAGGCAGGATATCAAGGATATCACCAGGCTAATGGCTCAACCCAGCTCTGTCCCTCTCTTTCTCTCTCTGTGTGCAAATGTCCCGCATATGCGTTACATTTAAGAGACATTTGCACTCGACACTTTGGCGCAACAATTTGCGAACTGTTGCAGCAAAGTTCTGTGGGCACAAAACCTCTTGGGTCTTTCTCTCTCTCTCCCTCTCTTTAGCTCTTTCTGTTGGCTTTTTAGGCTGGACCGCCTGGCGCCATTTAGAAGGCACATTAATCAATTTAGCCGTCAGCAGCAGCAACAGCAGCCGTAATGGCAGCCAGGCGAAACCGAAAGCTGCCTCCATGTAAATTATAAGTCCGTTTGGAGTCCGGCTAAAAATTCTCACTCGAGTGTAGAATTCCTGCTGTTCACATCTATCCCAACCTCTCCCTCTCCCTCTCTCTCTCTCTCTTTCTATTTCTATATTCTTCGTGCACTTTTGGCGCCAGTTTAAAAACTTAATTAAAAACACAACAAAGCAAAAGCTGAGCAAACAGCCAAAAAAATAAAACTTGGCGCTCAACCCACAACATTTTCTTCCTTTTCGGCGTTCAGCTGAAAGCCTTAAAAACATTTTCATTTACACACACACACACACACATGTTTGGCATTTAGATGCAATTAAAGTGAAACATGAAAATGGAAATGAAATTAGAAAAAAAAAACTATATATATAGAGTAAGAAACACTTATTGCTGGCTGTACGGGCTGAAGCTTGTGTCATTGCAGCTTTTGTGCATTTGAAATTTAATTAACACTCAAACACACACACAGAAGGCAATAAAAACAACAACAACAACAACAACAGTGCAAGTGACAGCGTGGAAAAAAGAACTAATAAAAACTCATTTCAAAGAGTTTTTGATGAGGCTAACGTTCCAAGCAGTGGACACAGGATCAACAAGCAGCAGCAGCAGCAGCAGCTGCACAAACTGGAAAGAAGTTGAGCGAGAGACGGCAGAGGAGTAGCTGCTTCAGGCTGTGTATAGCTTCCGCTGTGTTACTAGCTCTGGCTTTGCTGCTAATTCAGCGCCTGTTGCTATTGTCAGTGATGGGAGAGAGAGAAAAAAAAACGGATGCAGCAGGACATGCAGCACTGGCTGCAACAGGATGCTGCGCCTGGCCAGCTTTTGTCTCAACTGTTGCAATATACCCGTTTTGCTGTTGCTCCTCTTACTCTTCGACAAGTTTTACTCTAATGAATGTCAACTTGGTCCGCCACGCAAAAGTTTCGTAGCTCCGGCTGCAGCTGCCGGCGTTTTTCGCATTCGAAATTAATCAGGCAAAAGTTGCGGTTTGTTGGTCAAGTTTTATGGCCAATTATGACGGCGTTTTAGATAGTCGCCTTATTTATATGAAGAGCGCGCTTTAATTAAATGACATATTTCGCTTTTATGAACCGAAATAATAGCCAGGGATATTGAATCACAAAGAACGTGAGAGGTCAGAGACAAAACTAGAAACTATATTTGATAGCAATAAAATCCAATTAGAAAGACGAATTGGCGGAGACAAGACTAAGCAATACTCTATAAAAATATTTAAGCAACGTTTTTCAGTATTTCATCTGTATGATTGACTTCTTGATTCTCAAATTTATATAAATTAATTAACCTGCTGCTCAATACTCGCACATAGTTAATGTGCTCCAAATTTAATATTTGTCCATTTGATTTGCCTCAATGAATGGTTTACCTTTGGGGTCGATGGACGTACAGATCATGTACAAATCAATTTTCAATTGGCCCCGTCTTCAGCTATGAACGTAAATATATATACCATAAATTGTTGTCCTTAAGTCGTCTTTACTAATATATATGCCAGAACAGATCAGAAATGCCAGAACGAATATACTCACTTTTCACTTGATTAACAAGTTTAGAAAGAGTATAAATTGATGCAAACAGTTAAATATAATGGCATCAAAGACCAACAAACAGGTTAGTTCGCTAATGAAAATTGCAAAGCATGTGGAAAATGCAAAATAGCAAACGCAAAGCTAAGCACATTCTGTTAACAGAGTTAGGCGAATCCGTCAAAAAGTTGTTTTCTTCCCCAAAGAATTTGATACGACGAAAATTTGTCAGCTCATCGAGCGCCACGCCCCCGGGCGCCCTGCTTGCTCGTACAAACCGTCAGCTGTTGAAAATTAAATGGACTTTCATTATTTATGCGCTGTGATTTTCAAACGGACAGAAAGCAAACTGTCGCTGCCCACAGCCAACGTGCCCCGTCGCCGCCTCTCTGCCATTGCCCCTCCCTCTGTCCCTCTCACTCTCTCCTCTGCTGTCATGTTGTCTGTTAGTTGGTCCAAATATTTGCAGCTCTGAACGTTTTCCATTGGACTTTTATGAACGATTTTTGACGATTTCGATTTTACCGAGTCAATATTTACATATTGCCAGTCAGTGGGTGCTCCACTGAGCCACCGCCCGCACCACTTGTCGTGCTCACAGTTTATTGGATGTGCAGTTAACCAAATATAAATCGCATATCGGATTCTCAATGCTCGCATAGCGCATAAGCCGCTTAGCGCAAAAATTACTCATACGCCTAGTTGAAATTGCAAAATTTTTTTAGCTCTCACTTTGTATACCCTGCGGATGATTGAT